ACAGAGCCACTTCCCAGACTTCCCAAGGCTGCTCCTGCCCGTGGCCCACGCTCGCTGCTGCAGGAGCACCCCAAGCCCCTGGGTACCCCTCGCTACGACCCTTCAGCATCCCCATCAGAGCAGAGCACTCACGGAGCAGCTTTGCCCTTAGAAAGCAGCTTTCCTGGCCCAGGCCCCAGGAGATCAACAGCCACCAGAGAGCCCAGCACCTCGTGATGCCCTGCCCCTGGCTCGGGCCTTGCAGAGCACGTGAGGATGCGTGTGCCCGGAGCTGCTCCCGGCACACAGGGACCATCCGGCTGCAGCCACACGGTGGGAAGAGCAAACTCCGGCACCGGGCTTTGCCCTTAGAAAGCAGCTTTCCTGGCCCAGGCCCCAGGAGATCAACAGCCACCAGAGAGCCCAGCACCTCGTGATGCCCTGCCCCTGGCTCGGGCCTTGCAGAGCACGTGAGGATGCGTGTGCCCGGAGCTGCTCCCGGCACACAGGGACCATCCGGCTGCAGCCACACGGTGGGAAGAGCAAACTCCGGCACCGGGACACTTTTCCACCCCAGAGGAAAGCTTTGGGGTCAGAGCAAAGGGGACGATGGCTTTCAAGAAGCAGAAGGTGGAAGGTTTTTCCTGGAAGCCGATGGTGCTTCCTCCTGAGGGCAGGAGCGGGGCAGAGCTGGCTCCAGGGGCGCTGCTCAGGAAGCAGAACAGCTCAAGGGGGAGACATGGGACAAGCACAGGATGCCCCAGCCAAGGCCCTCGGGCTGGGGTGTAGCCCTGGGCTGTCATCAGCAGCACTGCTGCTGCCCGACACCAGGAACAAAAGGGCTGGAGCCATCTGGAATGAGATTAAGGTTTTCCACATGGTGCAAAACTCGGGTCCCAACCCCCCTTGCCCGCAGCATCCCCATCAGAGCAGTGCCCACCACCACCCGCTCCTGCAGTGCCTTCCCGTTGCCCTCCAGTGATGGAAAGAGGGATAAGCTGAGGATTCTTTCTCAAGTAAAGATGAAATAAATACAATAATGAGCTTAAATCCGGAGGAAATGAAGACAAAAGGCAACATCTTGTGGAACAGAGTTTGCATTTCCAGCTCCTTACGGGATATGGGCCATCAGACACCAGGTCCCATCCAAGAGCAGACTTGGATGTGTTTCCACGTGTGGTGATGATATTGTTCATTTAGCCCCATCCTCAAGCACCACAACAAGTGTTGAAGTGGGTAAGATAAGATCTAAATGAAGCCTGGTTTGAAATGAAGAAGATCAAAATCAGCCCCGGGAGGAGGCTCCAGAGGTGGGAGCCAGGGACCTGCCCTGGGCTATTGTAATGCTCCACTGGAAGCCTGGATCAAGGGTGAATGTGAATCGGTTCCAAGGCAGTTTTAGCTCTAGAATAGTTCAGTTTGAAGGAACTGGTGGAAAGAACTCAAGTTTGTACCCGCAAGATAGAGGAGGGGGAGTTAAGAGGCATCCCTGAAGTCATCTTATGACCCGAGGGAGAAGGACAAGGACAGAAGAACTTCAACACAACAGGAAAGCAGCAGTTTAATAAATACTCCACTGGAGGAGGGAGAGATTAGCCAGTTCTAAACACAACCTGAACGGAAAGAAACACACTTCCTTGGTAGCTGCAAAAGAGAGACCCAGAAACGCTCGCAATGGGCAACTCAGCACATGCCCCCACTCTCTAAAGGTAATAAAGGTGGCAGCAGCCATTCCAGTGCAGAGAAAAGAACCCAAACTGGTGAAGGGAAGAGGGATTGGGTTGTTAAATCAATGGCAAAAGAGAAAGCAAAGGGTTAACGGGGGGTTTTAGTGCACGAAGATCAGTTTGACCTCGGTGGAACTGCAGGGAAGGGCAAACAAAGCCAATTCTTGCCTTCCTTTTGGGGCGCTGGTGGCCCCGACCTCCCTGTGAAGTGGCTGCAGACAGCTCCTGGGAATGCTGCTGTGGAGCAGCCGGGCTCAGGCACTCCCCAGCACATGGAGGGGGGTGAAGAAAAGGCTCTTTTTAAAAAAGTTGCTTTTTTTTCCATAGAAAATAGGGGGAAAAGAAAAACCCAACAACAAACCCCCCCCCCAAACTTGGCAAAACCAGCTGAATGCTCCGTACGGATCTTCCCAGCTTTCCAGTGGGACGCTGCAGAATTCCCGGCCCTTCAGAATGAGACATTCGTCATTCAGGTCCAGGAATTCCAGCTCTGTCACCGCTTGGCCCGAGGCCTCCCGTGTCCCTTGAAGGCAGAACAGTGGCTGGGTCCCAGCTCCATGCCCGGGGCCATGCGGACCCAGGGGAAAGGAACTCCAAATCCATGGGAAGGGATCCCTGCCTGCTCCCGGCGCCAGGAACAAGTGCCACAGCGAGCCCTGGGTCTGCAGGCACCGGGCTCAGGGCCATGGCAAGTCCCCTGCAGCATCACCTGGCCCTGAGCTCGGGGTGATCAAAGCCCTCCAGATCCACTGCTCAGGAGCCAGGGAATGTTGGCATCGCTGGAAACTCGGACGTGGCAGCGGGATGGATGGGGATGGAGGAGGGAAGCTCAGCCGGCTGGTTCTGTTGGAGGGGAGGAGAGGCCGCAGGCAGCAGCGGTGCTGGGAGGGAACAGGATTAGTTCCAACAACCTACACAATAAAGGACTTTGAAAAATATATCTCTCTATACTTTGGATCATATAAATTACGTTCTTCTTTCCATAACATTCCGCTGTATCCAATGATTCCATCCTCCTCGTGTTGCTCCCAGTGCCTCGGTGTGCACGAGGAGGTAATGGATCCGTGTTACAACTTCATTTGGCTGTGAGGGAAAAAACCATCTTCAGTTCATTTGAGTAGAGTGGGAATTAATGGAGCAGCGGATGTGCTTGGGAAAGCTCTGCTCCGAGAAGGGAAAGTGGAGTCGGGATGGGTCAGGGACTGGATTTCCTCCAGGAAAGCAGCACGGATCACATCACCACAATGAGCTTGGGAAAACCGGAGTCAGTGCAGGTCACTGAGGCTTTGTGCTGCCTCCCCTCTGCCCCCAGGGAACGGCTCCAGCTGCAGGGCCTGGGCAGGCTCAGTGCAAAACCAACTGACAACTCTTTCACTTCAGTGCCCACCTCCAAAGAAGTAGTGCAGAAAACCAGCAAACAGCCACTGGAGCACGAGCCCAGCCTCGTGCAGGCAGCGGCTCCACGCTCT